GGGGACAGTCCTCGAAGTATACACTTAAGTAATTACAAACAAATGCTATGAACGGATTCAATATATCTTTTGGAGACTGTCTCCAAAATAACATTTGTCTGTATACGATCCAAGCTAACGTTATAATTGGATTAAATGTATATTTCGGAGACTGTCTCCAAAATATAACTTTTATATCTGTATTAATTTTGTAAGTTCAATTCATGTATAGATTAGGGACAGTCTCTGAAATAAATTAATCTATCGCGGGCAAATACCTTACACAAATTCATCACGTAAAATGGGTTTCCGTAGGATCTTCTATAAAGATAATTAATAAAAAAATTATGAGTATTGCGGATTGTTTAAATCGAAACCTCTTATAAAAAAATAAATAAATTTGATCGAAGTTTTCAAATTACATAAATTTATAATTCGTACAATTAGCAACACTGTAGTCGCCCATGTGTATCTGATTTTTTTTTATAATTGACCGCAATATTAACAATTCTGTACCGTCATCTTATATACGGTATATAAAATTCTTGACATGAAGATATACTAGTAAAATTTTTATGACGGCACTAGTGCCACCTATTGCTGCGTCTGTCGAATTTGAGCAGGCGTCAAAGCATACGTTTAATATATTTTCGAAATGTCCCCTAAACATACATTTAATATAAAGATATTTTGGGGACCGTCCTCAAAGTGTACAAATGTCCCCAAACTATTCGTCCGCTCGAAAATATGTCTCCGAAACATACTTTGTGCATACATATATATATATATATATATATATATATATATACACATGGTATAGGTACATACATCATTGATTTGAGTGGCGCGTAGTCGGCAAGTCAAAGAGATTTTCTCTCCTTCCACAACCCACCAGAGACCCTGCACTGCCTAACAAGGGCTAAAATATGACTGCCTCAACGGTGAGGCCGTCTTCCAGCATGCACCGGTTTCATTAAAAAATTAACGAAAAGAATTTTTTCCACAACTCGTCAATCCGGGAATAAATTAACAATATATGTTAATTAAGAATAATTTATTTGCTGGACTTTGATTAAATAGATTTCATATTTGTCCAAGTAGAATATTGGATTAAGCAATACTTGATATTTAGTTGAATCATGATGTTTGGAACGTTTGGATCAAGAGAATGGTGATTTCTGATACTGCTGCGTAAGTTTATTGTCGAGAAGATTGATCGGAGCCTTGGACGAATGGCCATGATGCGTATCGAGTATTCGGTGAGCGTGACTGTCGTAGTGGCTGATCCTGGCGATTCCGATAATGCTGGCGGTGGTCCATCGGAGTAAATATATTGAATGCCGTTGGGCCCTGTGGTAGGATTGGTGGCGGTGTCTTCCGCTCTCTACTTGAGCCGCGTGACCGCTCGCTCGTTCACGCCCGAGGTGCGCCTTTGATGTGCCGCCTACACCGTCTTCGTGCTAACTTCTCTTCTATCCTCACTCGCATTTTACCGCGTTCAACGACGCGATGAAGTTCTTATTTTTTTCTTACTTTCCTTTATTTTCTTCTACTCTCTGTACCCACTGATACATATACATTTATATATATTTATCATACATTTTTGTTCTTTAATATTATGAGTCAAATGATCCTTTTTAGATTTCATAATTACATCTGATTTTGGCTCCGAAATAAATCTATCTCTTCATAAAATCAATCAAACAATAGATTTTTTTAATGTAAAATGCTTTTGATTGAAACATTTAATTGAAGTTGCAGATATGAATTGGAATTTATTGTAATGAGAGTTTTTTTTTTAAATGCTAATTCTGTTTTATTGGATTTTTTGTTGAAAAATATTCATTATTTTTTATTATATTGTATCAGCTAAATAATTTTTATTCAATTGTATTTGAAAAAACTAAATGAATGATTTTTCTATAACAATAAGAAAAAATATTGCTGTTTTCATTTTTTACTGATAAACATATTTGAAACATATTTCATGAAATTTTTATTGTTTAACACTCTCATTTATAATTTTCTTTTTAAAATTTTTAATAATCATTAAAAGAAAGTACATAAAAATTATTGTCTCCAATTGAATTTTCGTAAACAATTTATGAATTATTTTGTATTGAATGCAAGTACTAATTAATGAGTATATCTTGATGTTTTATCGAAGGAGATTTTACCTTATTTAGCACAACTTAATTTGTGTTAAACATAAATTGTCTAGAATGTAGAAAGTTATCCCAAATGTAGTTTAACGTTACAGTAGCACGTTTTCGAAGACTTATTTCGAGAATTCGTCTTGAAGATTCTTCACGCGTGCTGGGCTGGCACGCGGACTTTAGTAGTGGATATACTATACGTCGTTGACTCGTTACTTTTGCGGAAGCTTAAGAGTATTACTGTAGTGCATGCGGTCTCACATCAAAGAACCAAAGTCCAAGCATAAGCTTTAAATGTATACTTTGAATACTCTTTGTTAAATTCTTATTTTCTCACAAACAAATTAACATAAAAAAGAGAGAAAACTAAATTAAATTTCTGAGAAAAATAATTAAGGATTTTCTTGAAATTTTAAATTTTCTTCTTAACCCTTAACCATATAGCGTTGATGATGATGATGGTGATGATGCTTATATTCGTGTTCTTGGCAATACGAAGAAACCTTCGCTTGATCTCGTTGTACACACTCCGGTACACTGCATTCGTTTGATCTCACCGCCAGGTCAGATCAGCAAAAGAATTTCTCTGTTGGGCAGCGATTGAAAAAGAGCCAAGAGCAAAAGTCTATGAGCATGATCAAAGTCTAGTTTTCAGTGTATATCTATTCTAAAAGACTGTAGGAAATTAAACTTCGTTATGGAAATAATACTCATATCCTTCTAATGGCTAACGTCCACCCTTATACGTAATACATCAGCACCTATTCTTCTCTTCTTCTTCTTCTTCTAGTTGGTCCTCTCATCCTTCCAGCTTCACCATAACTGGTTTAGCTCTTGAATCCATGCTGCGTCGCGTGCCCATCCACGTGTATCGCCGACGCAACAATTCCCTTCTAACTGCTTCATTTGTGCAAAAATTTTTTTTCAACCATCCCTATGTTGTTTTCTTCATCCCACTTTGACTTTACTAAATGTATATTATATTATCATGTTTACTTGATTTCCGATTAATTCTCCAAAATGAAAATCCGATTAAAAAATGTATCTTATTAAGGGATTTATGAAGAAATTGATTGCATAAAATGGACCGGGCGATACCAAGAATATGACAAGGAAGAAAGGAGGAAAAGTGTGTGTCGACTAAGTACGTTGGTAGCTTAGTAAGAGCAAGAGAGAAGACCCAGTGAGGGGTAGGGATGGCTACGAAGTATAGAGGAACTGGCGGCTCCTTTGATGTCGACCGGTACTGTGTGTAATTAGGCCGCCTCCCACCCCGCCCTCATCCTCTGATCTCGCCGCTGTGTCGCTAATTGCTCACCGCCCCGAAGCCAGAAGCATCGTTCGCTAGTCGTTCGCCCGCTTATGTCCTCAGTCTAGTCTCCATGTTGAATATTACTTAAACTGCATCCCAAGGGATTTTCCCGTTTTGCCGATTTTCAAAGACCTACCATTCATTTCCAATACCAGCCTTCGATCAATCAAGTTGTCTCATTTTTAATGCTTTCCAAAGATTTTATCTCACTATTTATGCTAAAGTACACTGATGAAAGAATTTCGTAACAATTAAAAATGTTTGTTAATTATTAAAAAAAAATAAAAAATCATATCTTAAACATCTAACGTTATTTATTGTACTAGTAGTACAATAAATGTTTCTTAATACTTAAAAAATTGGTTTAATTGTTAAGAAATATGTATATTTTAACTGAAACAATGGGTATCTTTTCGCGAAAAGTTTTTGATTGATTTCAAATTTAAGTGACGTTGTGGAATTTATTTGCTACTAAAAAATATTAAATTATCTTAAATAAACATTATGTGACATTTTTATGATGTTATAAAACATTAGTTAATAGTGAAGAATGCGTTCCAATCAACAAAGCAGTTATTTTTAAATCATTTAATATCTCTTCTATCAGTGTAGAATTGCAAATTGATATTAGAAAAAAAAAACAAAATTTTATGACCAATAATGACGATGATTGCAACGGAAGTGAACAAAAATAATGCTGTTTGATTGGTTTAATCGTTTAATGAGAAGGTATTTACATCTTTCTCTTTTCTCTTATGTACATGATGATTGAGCCGTTATTTTAGTGTTTTGTTTAAACACCTGGTATGTATGAATTCTATGGCTTTATTGACAAAGAGAACAAAGAAATAAAGTTAAATAATTTGCAATGTTGTTTATTCAATCACCAAAGTTTTATATGAAAGAAAAATACAAATGAATGAAAGAGAATTTTTTTAAGGATACAAGTTAACAGATGAAACCGAAGAACACATTCAAAATACGTGAAGGGCGCCCAAAGCTATGCGTGGCGCGCAAGATCATAGGCGGAGACCCGACGTAAACAGACTTCAAACCGCAATCTCCGTCGCACGAGATTTACCCCACCGCTTTATTTATGTGTATATACTTTTGATTTTCCCTTATTTTTCATCTTTAAATATTGTATTTTTATTTGAGAAAAATAATTACTAACATAACTTACACACTGTTTGTACTTGGACTTATAATGAATGTGACGAAAAAAAAAAATTACAAGTGAAAGAAAATCAAAGAGAAAACGTGATTAAATGTTACCTAAGAGGACCAAAGGGATAAAAGAACGATAGTTCAAAGGCGAGAAAGCTTTTACTCAGAAGGTTGTAAGTTCAAAGGCCCTAACTTGGCAAAGACAAAATTCAAGGGTAGTAAAAGACAAGAACAAATTGTAAGGGAGAAAGAAAGAAAGGTGTGAAAAAATCTGATATTCAAGCTTTGATGTTCAGTCATTGGAAAAATAATATTATCAGTCATTGATAAACATTGAACATCAATACTTTGATTTTCTTGAAGTATAATTAATAGGTAATAAATACCTGCAAATTTAACAACATGTCGGGATAACAACCGGTGTATATGCCGGTTTTCAGATGTTTGTAGCTTCTGCTATTTCCTTATTGGTTCTTCAAAATACTAATTATTAGTATAATGTACTATTATTTATCCACATTTAGTTAGTTCTTTTATTATCATGATGGCATCAAAATGAACTGCACAATGATATTTTTACGATAAAAGTTAATATTTCACTGAATCAATAATAATCCACTTTATTGGACATTAAATAATAAAGAAACGCAAATTTATCACAAGTCACGTGGGCATACGCATGGATGTAAATAACAGAAGAAAACAATTTTTTTGCTAAGCACACGTGCGTCTCGGACGAGAGCGTGCACCACACTGCTGCTGTATTTTGTATTGCCGCGCCACTTTGGCCACTGTGCTGCCGTCTCCTCCAGTCTCTCTTCCTTCTTGTTCCTCTGATTTTGACACCTCTTCAGAAAACTTTGAGAAAAAATTATCACACGTCGTTTCACACTACAGTAAAATTTAATTTTATTTATTTATCATTCAAAAGTCTTTTCTTTGTACTGATAACATTTATTGTGTTTAATAGGTTTAATACCAAGTCACACTAAAACTATCAACAAAACATCATTTCACTAAAGCAATTGGTGTGAGTTGGACCGCGTCAAGTTAACTGAGTTAAATGGAGAAGATGAAGCTGTGGCTCGAAAGCAAGAGATAGGCTGAGATGAGGATTCCCCCTCTTTTTGAAACTTCTCTTCCAGGGGTTGTGTACTTCCCTAACGTTTAGAAACGCGCCTCCAAACATTTAGGACCAATAAGAATTAAGAAAAAATCTGTTGAATTGTGGTGAATTTGTGAACAAGACCTGAATGTTGACAATGGTGAGTTTATGAAGTGCTTCATTTTACCAATAAAAGCAGAGAAAAAATTTGAATGAATGAATTTTACTGGGAATATTATAGTGTTTGTGTTCATGTAGCATGTTCGATTCGTAAATTTGCTGGGATAATTTTTCAAAGCTTGAATAATAACAAAAAAAATGTGAGTTAATATCAGTGAATGATAAGCTTTGAAATAATAGTAGTACATTTTGCGGGACGATTTAATGACATCTTAAGGTCTTAAAAAATCGCAAGTTGATAAATAAAAAATAGAAATGACAGTAACAAATATCTGGTTGGAAGAAACGTCTTCTTCACAAGTGCCTCTTTCCATTTCTCTCGAGCAACTCAGTTTCTTTGGTTCGGGCAACTCCACCTCTTTCAGGCTTCGAACTAACGTTTAACAGCCGTATAATCACCATCCTGCGGCCCTTACTGTTCTTCAGCTCGCGTCATGAACCACCACCACTAACGTAAACTCTTGAGCCTGCCACACTTTCGGAAGATATTCTTTTATTTCTACGTTCTACGGGACCCTTTCACTGTCCTTATATTTATTCTTATCTTCTCTTTTCATTTCTCTTTTCCTTTTGTTCTTTTTTATTTAGTGATCCGCCTTAATTTCAGAACCACTTAGAAACTTTTATGCACAATTAAATTCACTTATTCTTTCATTTCCAAAAATATTTAACCAAAATACTATTCATAATAATTAATTTTCAAGGCTCTTGCAATATGTATTTAGATCAGTTGGATAAATTAATAAGAAGATTTTCATGTTTTTTAATGTTACAGTTGGACGATGGATCAAGACGCACAAGGGAAAAGATCAAAGCTCCGAAACAGACTCGTGTTACTTTGCCGACAAAAGAGAGTGGACTGGCTCGCAGGTGGACTTGTCGCGAGTCTCTGTCTCATTTCTCTTAAGTTGGTTCCAATACGACAATGAGATTACTTTTCTCTCTTTGGTCCTTCTTTTTGGGGCTGCTGTAGGCGATTCGCTACGTCCCAAGTCCTCTTATTCTACAAGAGCCTGCTTCGAGGTCTCGTTTGACTATTGTAAGGGGACACTGATACGCGTATAATGACAACGAGACTTTTGCTGTAACGAACAAACGACCGCCTACTGAGGAGGTACCGTTGTATATAGCTACTGGACTGATATCATTAATCTTCATTAAGTTGGCCGTAGCACACAGGTGCTATGTGACCTTATGGATTGTAGTTCACGATTAATTTTCAACTCAAACGAGCCTATTTTATTTATTCACTGAAACTATAAAACTCACCCTCTGATACGCGCGAGCACACGTACCCACGTGTACACTCTCCTCTCTACTGCTCTTTCTCTTTCTTCTCACCAACACTGGCATGTGCAACGTTCAAGCCTTTAACGGCGCGCAGTGCCGCGCTTCATGGCAAAGGTGCCGAAACAAAAAAAGTCAAGAAGCCGGGGCTTATTCTTTCGAATCGATGTGTACCCCGTGGACAAGTTCTCGGGAAGCAACACACCGAGTGAGGGAGAAAACAAGAACCTTTTTCCATTGCAGTCCACTTTATATATCTGTTGGTACGTATTATTTTGTTTTGCTTTGAGATGTACAGTTTTTAATGATACCAATGACGACAGTGGTTGATGCTACTTTATGTAACACCCACAGGTTGTCCTTTTTAAACGTGAGCTAGACCAGAAGATACAAATGCTTATGGATAATGATTTAAATGTTTAATTGGAGTACTGGGTTGAGATTATTTTATTTATTTATAAAAATGTTTATGATTAGCTGTTTTAAAGTTAAATAATATAAGAAATTGTTTTAGATGATTAGAGAAGTATAAAGTAATGGAGTTCTAATTAGTTTGAAAACAATTAAAAGCTTGAAAGTTAAAAGTTAGTTCAATTAAAATAGAATTTATGATTGCTGATTCAGTTAAGAATAAACTAAAAAATGTTGAACAATTTTATGCATAGTTGGAATTATGATTGGTGATAGTAAAAATAAAACTTTTGATGAAACGGAAATAGTAATTTGATAAATATTACACAAAAAAAATAATAGTAAGTTTATTAATAATCATTATGACATTATAAACAACTCCAGTATATGTACATATAATTAGATCATATTTATAGGAAATTACTCCTCTTTTTAAATATCCAAATCAACATAAACTTTAGTTTTAAATTTGTTTAATTGTTTCTAAAAATATTAAGAAAATTGTTTAAATAATAATTTTTGTCTGCATTGAAAAGTAAGTTATTTAAATGTTTAGCTGATAAATTATACAAAAAAATGAATTCAAACGTATTTCTAAATTAAAAGTATCATGTTAAAAAATAGATCGTATGATCAAAAGTCATTGACTACTTTTCATTTCCATCATAGGACCAATGAAATTGTAAACAATGTCGAAAAAAGATATTAGTCACTCTCATCCTCATAAAACACAATGAATGAATTGATGCAGCATACGTACAATATACTTGAATCAAGCTCCAAGGATAATATTGAATGCTTATGAATGGATTCCTGTTGTTTATGTATATAACATAGCGACAATTGTAAAAATTGAATGGAGATTGGATCTTTTTCCTTCGGCTTCCTTTGAAATTCACCACTAGCCAGACAACCGATCCGATCCACGAATCGTTAACGAACATCGCGGCACTTTTAGCGGCGATGATAATTTTCGAAGAGCGGCTTTCTTCGTTCTTTCTCACTGCCGGCAGTAGTCGTTCGGGCTACATTAAATCGGGGCCGCGGGGTAAGAACTATAAAATCTGGGATAAACGACCGGCCACATTAATGCCGTGGCGACTTTACGAGGCGAATGGCGTCTCGATTTCTTTTCGTAATGTATAATACCAGCGCAAATGCGCGGTGCGTTTAGTACCATCATTTTTTTTTATCCGCACCAAAGACTTGGCCATTTTTCTTTCATTTTTTCCCTCCTTCTCTATACTAGTATTTTATGCGATGCTTCGTAGGCAATTGTCAGTAATGATCAAAATTATCATGGAGTCTAGAGGGAAATAAGCATATAATAATGATTTAATGATCTCAGATGTCAATTACTATCCAACATACTTTAATATATAAATTAAGTTGGTGTGCATACATTATGCAGGCATATTAAATTTATAGGAGTATGTAGATTGAAAAAATGATATAACTAGAAAAAAAAAGTTGGTCTGAGGTTAATTATTTATATGATAAGTTTCAGAAACCTGTCATCGATCTGAACCTCGTCGTAGCGTTCTAAAAATTCTTGATGTAGATGCCATCACTTTTCTAGCTCCGCCGCTGTTCATTAATCTTTCTCCAAATAGCGGGCGATCTTATAGACCGCGGTTTCTGAAAATCCCAACGATACGATCCTCGACCGCACGATCGTACAAAGCGATACGCAGTTGATTTCATTATACACGTAGGCTATAGAAGAGAGGTTGGGAAGTAGGAAGAAAGAGAGAAAGGATACCGTACCGGTTAATATTGTCCCGCGTGCCACATCACCAGGTGAAGAGAAGTAGGGAGTCTGGAGTGCAGTCGGCGCCTTTCATCCCCTCTTTTTCATTCCACCTTCTCTCCCACCATACAACTCACCACTGATGATGCTTCTGGGTTTTTTTTCTTCCTACACTCAGCCTCACCTATTATATACATATTGGTATATGGCACAATGACGTCATAATGCACGTAAAACATTGAATAATCGGATTGTTTTAATTACGTTTTTTGCCACTATAAATCGTTGTTGAATATAAAATTAACATAACAACAAAACTCAATAGGATTAGTACGTTTTTATGTCACCAGACTTTGTATCGAAATCGGATATTTACCGATACCATTTTCATCTGTTTACATGGTTTGGTGGACCATCAGTACACTGCAAATCCCACAATTTTACAAATGTGTTAAAATAACACACATAAAGCGTGTTCAATGTAAAATGTCCATAAACAAACTATACATTATTTGAAGACGCTTTTGATAAGTTTAATAATGTGTGAAAAATCTATAGTTTGTTTACGGCATTTAAAATTGAAGAGGCTTAGTGTGTTAAAAGTGTCTACGAGAATAATACACTTGGATTTGCAGTGTAATGAAACAACTTTGCAGAGTTTACACTCTTTTCTCATCGCTCAAACTCACATATATTCATTTAGGAATTATCCACTGGTAACTGTTTTATAATATATTGTGCCCCGTAGGGGGTAAAACAAGAATAGTGGATAAGAGTGAGAGTGGGATGCTACGAAAAAACTGATGCGCACCTGCCTCCGTCACGCGCACATCAATGTTGGTCGGCACGTTTGATGTTTCCGAAGGTGGGAGGATGTATATATATATATATATATATATATAGAGTAAGTACTTATGTACTACAGACATGCGAGTGATGAAGAGGGAAGGGAAGGAGTACGAGTTAAAGAGAGAACAAGAGTGTGAGTGACAAAAAAAAAAAAATAAA